CAGATACTGCGTAATAAAACGCTTGTATTAAGATTAAGAAGTAAAATAGCCCTTGCCTAGTTTTGTTTAGTCAATGTTGTATTGTGATTCTTGTTTCCAGCATGTGTTTCTGGGAACACTTGCCTGCATAGTGACCCAGAGGCAACCTAGGTTTTTTCAAAACGGCGTGAAAAGATGTAATTCGGACCGGTGCGCTTTATTTTTGCATAAAGGGATTTTGGTGGTGTTTCACTTGATCCTTTTCCTGAAATAAGGGAGATCGGATACCTTAAGATGATGAACACGGAAGAATTAGAGTCCATTGCCTCAGTCACCAACTGCTACCAAGCCTTACCAGATCTGGCCTTGACCCGCTAAACTCCTGACTCACAAAATGGACCACGGGACACTTCAACATTGCTTGTGCCCTGTTCTTCTCTTTGTGACGCATACACCTGCATACCTGAGAGGTGCTAGGCACGATCCTGACCGGTCTGTTCTCGGCTTCTCCCGTTTTAATTTTTACAAATGGGCCTTCATTTCAGTGTAGGTCAGAAAAAATGGATACGCATGAAACAAAGCATTCGTGTGGAGCCAATTCCAACCCATTATGACCCCTAGGAGTGTCCTAGGTGAAAGTTCTCCATCGGTTGCCCCACCACTGGTGATTTGGTTTTTTGAAAGCGGATTCCCAGTCTTTAACTCTGAAGTGCAGTCACACCTCTCACCTTTCAGTTTGCAGCCATTTGTGATGCTACCCAAGGACTGTTTTCCTAGCCCCCTCTTCCTTTGTGTGTGTGTGAAGTGAATTTATGGCTTCAAAGAAGCAATAAATGTGAGTGAATATATTTAACCATGTAAAGCCCTTGGAAATATATATGGAATTGGGATGTCTTAAAAACAGTACTAATCTTCCGCCTGAATAGAAATTAATTCTTTAAAAAAAACCACATTTCTCTCCACCCCCTCATTCCCCCCACTATTTAGTGTTGCCTTTCTAATCAAGATCAGCCTAGATCGTAGATACTGACTATATGAAATTAACAATAGCAGCCACTATTTTAAATTTTCTTAAGCTTAGTATTTGGGCAAATGAAAGACACACACACGTCTTTTTGGAATGATTCACTCTCCTGCCATGCAGTCCATTCCAAAGCGGCGACCCCACTGGTCACTGGCAGAGCTGCCCCCGTGGTTTCCCACACAGTAACTCTGGACAGGAGTAGAAAGCCTCATCTTTCTCCCAGAATGACTCCACACCAGATCTCCTCTGTGCACTGTTGGATCTAAAACATCACACTTTTTTCTTCCTTGGCCCCGCAGCTCTAATTAGAATCCCTTGGTTTGATCTTCTGTAATTGGAATTAAAGTTGGAGAATGTTTAGCCAATGTGGGATGAGTGACTGTGTTTAAAGACATGGGTCTTTTTTTTTTTTTTTAAAGCATTCAAGTACATTCAGTCTAGCAAAACTTAGAACTAATGCTACCCGTGTGAGCAACTCCTCATTACAATCTTAGCCCTGAATTAAAAAACCAAAGCCATACAATTTATGCTTGGAAATTATAAACTTTAGTTTAGAGAGTGGCAGTGTGGCTTCATGTTAATTGTAACTTTTCATTATCTGTTAAGCCGCCTCCCCCCACTCACCCAGAAGACTCTTGTCAGGTTTCCACTTTTACTGTCTTCTAATTGTTTTATGCATTTCCGGAATTTAGACATAGGTATTTCCTAGAAGTACTGAATGTGTCATTCATAATGGAGTCAAAGGACCATATTTGAGAGGGTGGAAATACAAAGTAAATATATGACCATATTATTTTGGATTCCTTTTGCAATTGTGTTACTGTTTTTGCAATTGTGTTACTGAATTGGTCCTGTTCGTGGCAGAAGTTAGGGACAACAAGCACATGAGAAGAGGGCCGATGTAAAGGAAAGCCTGAGTTTGGGTCTCGCCAACTGCAGAGGAGGGCAACAATGGAACAGAAGCCCAAATTCATCACTGTGCTTTAGAGAGGCGAGGCCTCTTACATCACATCTCAGGGTGTTTACATGCAAAACTGGATTGAGGCAGCATCAGTTCTATTATTACACTTGACTCCTGCTAGGCCCCCAGTTGGCAACTGGAAAAGTTACTTTGTCTTTGTAGATTGTCTATTAATAATGAGATAATGGGGTATTTACTAAAGTTTGTCTAATTCAACTTGTAAAAGTCACGGGCTTTAAGGCTTACCTTGGCCAACTTACCTACATTCTCTTTCATTGTGGCCTGCTTTTCCTATTAAAAATTTGAGTTAAAAATTTAGACCATTAATCAAATCCAGCCCCCGCCCCTTTAAGCAGTGTTTCTCAGTCCAACCTCCGCCCCCCAATAGTTTGTGCTTTTCTTCATTTTAATGATTGCAGAATCATATAGACTTTTGAAAAGCTTAATAAGGAAGAAATATTTAGTGTTCTCTGAAAAGTATTTCCTTAATAGGCTCAAACATAGTAGTAATTGTGAGGATGGTGCAGGTCCAGACAGTGTTTTGTTCTGTTGTGCGTGTGGGTACTATAAGTCAGAACTGACTGCTGGCATCTAACAGCAACATGAGATCTTAACTTGTTCCACCCTCTTTTCCTAATATATTTTGGGATTAAGTTTTTAATGGTTTCCTCAGGTATGTTGCGGCTTTGTATAATGCTATCAAGACCTTAGTAGTATGAGATTTATCTCTTTGTAGGTCAGATACTAATTTATCTGCTTAATCCTATTTTAGCCACCAAAGTCCTTGGCACTGTCAAATGGTTCAACGTCAGAAATGGATATGGATTTATAAATCGGTACGTGTGCATGTTTTAAATGCTTGTTGTAGAACCAGCAGTTAATAAGTCTTCCCATGTTAACATTCTCTTGTTTAAACGAGTCATTAGAACAGCCTTAGTTAAATGATCTTTCTAGAATGGTGTAATTGGTAACTTCATAAAGGTTTGAAAAAGTAAGATCAGAAATGGGGAAAGACTTCAGGATACCCAAAATATCACCTTTGAAGAAATGGAATCTTAGAGTGGTTAAGCAACTTGCTTAAATTAGTGAGTAATTGAGCTTGATTGGTAACCCAGTCTGGTCCACGTCCTGGATGGAAACGGTAATGTTTTCTTTAAGCCGTGGTAATGTGTAACCCTATAGGAATGAGAATACAAACTGCAAGCTGGTAGGAGTACTATGATGTTTTTAGATGATGTCATTTTTGCTGTTTGTTTGATTTTCCTCACTTGAGAGAATTCCTCCAATTTATTCTCTGTTTGTTTGGGTGTTGGTGGGGTGAAGGGAGATGTTTTAAGTTTCAGTGTAAGGAGAGCCTAGTTCACAGCTGTGCCCTGTCCTTCTAACTGTCTTGCTTTGCTTTTGCTGGGAGGAAGTCTCTGGCTCTGATTACATACCATGTGATTTAGAAAGGCCAGAGCAAAGAGATGTTTCTGTATGTTGACTCTAAGCACTGTGCTAATGTGAAAGGAGTAAGGTAGGTATCATGCAGGGTGAAAAATTTTTTTAAAGGATTGATTAGGTGTCTGAATTGAGCATAGAGGCGAAGCAGAAATAAATGTATGTTGTGTTTTGAGATTGTGGGATCCAAATAAATAGAACATCTGTTCTTTGAAGTTTTTCCCTTATCTGGTACCTTTAATCATGAGCCTTTCCCCCCTCCTTTCAACAGAAATGACACCAAAGAAGATGTGTTTGTTCATCAGGTAAGGGGAATGGTAATGGCTAACATTTGCTGTGTGTGAATGATGTCTGTCACCTGCTGGTGCCCCGTAACCAAAAAGAAGTGCTGTGAAAATTAGTACTCCGTGCGAGGTGTTTGCCGTTTTTCTTTTGGGACGATAGGGCAGTGCCACATTGTAAGATTAGCATCTGTCCCAGTAAAGGAGCTCTTCTCAAAGTTTCTTTTCTTTTATTAAAAAATCATTTTATTGGGGTCTCATACAGCTCTCATAACAATCCATCCATCCATTGTGTCAAGCACATTTGCACATATGTTGCCATTATCCTTTTCAAAACATTTTCTTTCTACTTGAGCCCTTGGTATCAGTTTTTTTCCCTTCCCTCCAACCCACGTGAACCCTTGATAAATTTTAATTATTATTTCCTTTAAAAAAAATCATTTTATTGGGTGCTCGTACCACTCATCGCAATCCATCCATTGTGTCAAGCACATTTGTGCATTTGTTGCCATCATCATTCTCAAAACATTTGATTTCTACTTGAGCCCTTGTTAGCAGCTCCTCATTTTGTTTTCTATCTTGCACCATCCGCTGTCTCCCTTCACCCACGTTTCTTTTTATTTTTGAAGTGGGATGAAGTGATAACTCAAACCGCTACTAATTTTCCAAGACCCTTGATCCCTTTTAAACAAAAGCCACCCTCTGCCTCCCGAGCGTCTTATTCTCCTGACTTGCCTTAGTACTTGGCTGGAAGCTAGCTGGTGGTGGGTATTGCTGATGATGTTTTTTGTCAGCTGCCCTTGAGTCAGCCTTCACTTGGTGACAACCCTGCCCTTCACCTGCCCCATCGTCAGTTGTCGATTGGACCTTGTGCACCGTAGGGTTTTCATTGGTGGCCTTTTCAAGTGGAGTTTCTAGTTCATCCTTGTCTAGAAAATTCTGAAACTTATTCGAAGCACAGCAACCTATTAACTAATGTCCATTGGCACATGGGTGGTGGCTGCACCTGGGGTGGCTTGGCCAGGAAACAAACTGTATAGACAATGAGAACTGTATCCTGAACCCACAGTACTTAATTAACTTGGATGCTGTTTGTTCTCTTATGTTTCCCAGCCTTGTGCAAAGGAGCCCTGGTGGTGCAAGTGGTTAGTGTGCTTGACTTCTAACCAAAAACCAGCCCCTCCGTAGAGGTGGCCTCGGAGGCCCTGTGGGCAGACCCTGTCTTGTGGGTCAGAATTGACTCGATGGCAGCAAACTTGTTTCATTTTTCCTTCTGTTTAAGTTGGGGTGGAGTTTGGGTAGCGATGTCTAAGAATAAACTCTAGTAGTTTCTACACTGTCCTAGAAATGGTGACTTTCTAGAAGTCACAATGGACCCAGGGGAGTGGGGAGTGTTTGGTTTTAAAAGCTGGGAGGTTGGGGGAGAACTCTTCTTCTGGTGACTGGTAGAGTGCAGGACCACATGTTGGTGGCCCGCTTTATTAGACTGTGAGCGGGTGACCTGATTCCAGCCCCAGGAGGTTGCATGCATGGTGAGTCACTGCAGTGTGTTGAGGCCTGCCCTGTTGAACAGGAAACTGGGAAGGAGCCGGCAGGGAGGGGCTGTTTTTGGAATGGCTGAGTGTTGGTGCTGCGTGCGCATATATCCTGCCCTGAACTGCCTTTTTTTCTTTCTTTCTCTCTGGGTGAGGTCTCTGTGCTATTGGCTCATTATTTTCCTCCTCTCTCCCACTCAGAGAAGGGAAGGGGAAGGGCTAGATTACACATGCCTAATCGCCTTATAAAGTTGACCTAGTTCCACAGAAACTCAGATCCCCTTTTAACTGTTTAGAGATAACCAGTCAAAAATGGAAATGAAGCAGGAATTAAATCTCCTGTATGTTGATGGTGAAAAAAGAGACTCTTCAGAGCCTTTAGGGGGATGTTCTTTAATGCAGGGTCGCATCTTCACTGCCCCTGTGTTACCACACAGGTAACAAGAAATGTGAATGGGCGAGTTGAATGGGATGAGTATCACTGAGGGTAGTGGGAGGAGCCAGGGTGGTAGAGTGGGGTGCTTAGAGTGGGAAGCAGCTTGATAGAGTGATTGTGGTTCTTGTTTTGTTTTAATAGTGCAGTGATGAGATCCGCCCCCCAAACACACGCACACAGTAGTAGTCTAGGCGCCCTGGTTGCAAACTGAAAGGTTGGTTCAAACCCACCAGTTGCTTTGTGGGAGAAAAGACTTGAGGACTGCTCCCATCCAGACCATAGCCTTGCAGCCTCTCCCCCCCACCCCCCAGGGGGCAGTGGGCATTTCTACCGGGAGTGGGCATCTAGCTGGTGGCACACAGCAACAGCAACCTCGAGGGTCGCTCCTCTCTTTGTGACCTCAAAGAAATCACATAGCTATCAACCTCACGTCGTAGCTGTCATTCATAGAAGTGAACCGGAGTTTTGATTGCCGAAATAGCTTTTTTTGTACACTTCCAGAAGTGGCTACCCACACCCTTGGTTTTCTTTTTCCTCCTCTTGTCCTCATTCCTTTTATCTGTGGTTTGTCGCAGCTTCTCTCACACAGTTTAATTCCTTTTCTGGTTAGCAGGGCCTCTTGTCCATGGACGCCTCTGTACTTCACATGTGTGTTTGGACGGAGTGAGGCCTGGATGGCCGCCCCTCCCGTCCCCACTGGTGGACCTGCGCTCCAAAGCTCAGAAGCTTAGGGGGCCCATCAATCTCCAATCTCGTATGTCCAATGTCGTGACTAGGTGATGAGGTCATAAAGAACCAGAATCATAACCACCCACCACATTTAGTCTGCCTGGCAAGGTGGATTTCAAAAGAATAGCATGCACCAAGAAAGTAATGTGGGACATAACATACTGCTTTTGTTTGGGTACTCCCTTCCCTTGGAAGTTCACATCATTGAAAAGCAACCATAGGGTGAACAGGTTTTTCAGGTTCTTTTAATAAACTTGAAATCGATGAACTATATGCCCATTACTGACTTGGAGCTTATTTTGAATTTTCTGTTCCTTTGGCAGACTGCCATCAAGAAGAATAATCCACGGAAGTATCTGCGCAGTGTGGGCGACGGAGAAACTGTGGAGTTCGATGTGGTTGAAGGAGAGAAGGTGCGAGCGGAGTGCGCAGACTGCCTTTGTCTTCCGTGTGCACCAGCATGGACTGGTGCCTGGCTTTGTTACACAGTCACCGGTGTTGTGAACCCTTGTGAATTAGGATTATTTTGGATATCTGTCTAATAGGGCATGATTTTTAAGCAAAAATAATGCTTTAGATTATCATGTCATTAGAAACAGTCTTCAGTATATTAAAAAATGCCATTTAATTTTTTAAGTTAAAGTACTTACATAGGGAAGAAAGGCACAACTTTCCTAGTTTTAAAATTTTGATGCCAAATGTATATTCAAATACTACAGGTTAAAACTTCATAAAAACATAAATAGATGAACGTTGCTCTTTGGGCTAAGACTCCCTTTGAAAAATGGTCAAGTTGCAATTTGTGAACACTTTGCTTGAGTAGGACGGAGTCGAATACTGATCTTGACTCAAAGAAGCTTCAAGTTGAGTGTTAGAGCATGTGTTTTCTGTCTGCTTGGCTTGGATTTTGATCACAAGTGAATGGAACCCCAGTATCTGCTGGGTTGTCTTGAAGCATAGCTATAGAATGATGCTATTACGATTACAGATATACTTTTGATAGCATAGTGTATCCTGTAGGAGTCCACAGTGGTGCAAACAGCTGAGTGCAAGGCTGCTAGCCAAAGGGGGTGGTTCGGGCCCACGCCAGGGGCTTCTGGAAAGTCACAGCCTCAAAGCCTGTGCAGCGTTTCTTTGCCCCACACGTGGCTTCTCCATGTGGAATGGACTGTCTGGCGCCTAACAATGACAGTCTCCTTTTTATGTGTTTATTTTTTTAACTGATTTTATACTATCCCTAAAAAGAACATAAACGATAAAGTAAGGTTGTATGTGGTCCCAGTGCCACGGCAGCAGGTGGTGGCTGTGAAGTGACTGAGCGGCAGCGACCAGGCAGTTCCTGTGCGCTTCCCAGAAAGGCACACGCTGCACGCCACACTCCACAGCCGGGTATTCTCGGGCCGCACACGGTTATTTCTTAAAAGAACAAGCATGCAGCTTACTTGGTTTGCTTTAGAATGTGAAGAGCTGCCTTTCCTGGTGTGATTCTCGGGGTACCATGCAAATCTCTTGAAGTTCATTTTAAGTAAGGAAGTGGCTGTTCTGTTGTGATCATCTCTGCCCCACCAGAATCTTCATCACTTGGTTTGGCCAGGTTAATTTTACCTCTGGGTGCAATCAAAACTTGAGATTTTTCAAATGGATTTAAAATGGGACGTGCTCTTGAATCTTGTAGTTCCAGTTGTTAAATACCTTTTGGAAGAAGTAGCATGGCTTGATCTATCTGAGAACCAGTTCAAGACTTGGGTTGTACTGTACAGTCCATTGTGGCTGACAGCACCTCTTCAGAAGGATGAAACACGTCACTAGATGCGTTAAAACTCTGCTTGTTCCTAAAGTCTGCTTTCTTCCCATTGCTGCCAACGTCGGGAACGTGGAACTCTCCGTCGTAAGGTGTGCTGTGCCCATGATGACGGAGTTTCTTCGTGATTTTTATACGTAACACAGCTCCACCAATTTCGGTTTTTTCCATCGAGGCGTTTTCTTTCTGGTCTCATAATACCTTTACTTCTACAGTTACATTCACCAGCTTATGTTCTGTAAAGAGAATGTAACACTTGAATTTATCTAATCGCACAAGAAGGCATGGTATGGATTGTATAGACACACTAGGAGCTGTGTACATTTAAATTAGAACATCCAGCACTTTCCTTTTTAAACTTGGGTGTGCTTTGGCGGTCGCAATAGGTGTTCTTTGTATGTTCTGCCAGCCGTACAGCCTGGGCAGTGGCAGTGTAAGGCTAGTTTGGTTTAACTTCTTTCTGACTTGGAGGCCATCCCTGTTTGTTCTCTTCCGCAGGGTGCAGAAGCAGCCAATGTGACTGGCCCGGATGGAGTTCCCGTAGAAGGGAGCCGCTACGCTGCGGACCGCCGCCGGTACAGACGTGGCTACTATGGCAGACGCCGTGGGCCTCCCCGTAATGTATGTTGGCTATGCTCCTAAGCACTGATTGGGTTTGTTTATTTTTTTAATTGTGTGTATATTTAAAGTGCACATCTCCCTCTTGATGGCCACAAGTACAAAAAATATATATTTTTAATTGTTCTTTAAAGAGAGATTTTCTCTGCCCAGAATTTATCTTTCAGCCACTGGTCTCATTGCTTTGGAAAGTTGCCTTTCAGAAGCTATATCCGTTAGAATGTATTTGGGTGCAAGTAACAGACATTTCATTATCTTGTAACCAGAAGGCGTCATGCAGGTCAGCAGTGCCAAGATAGCCAAAAAGGCTTGCTCTTCATTTGGCTCCGTTATCTGGCCAGAGCCCAGTCATGTGGTAGCCTCTGGCAAAGGAGAAAGGAATTACTTCGATGGGCTTAAACTTATTACTGAACCGAGTCTCTGGCACTGTTGACCTCTGAGAAACTCGGTGTCTGGGTAAGGAAGAATGAGGGACAGCTTTTTGGTGAGGCAATAACCTCTGCTGACCACTGAAGTAATAAACAATTTACCTGGATTAAGTAGCTCTATAACACAGAATTTTCCTGTTCTTTTAGAGTATAGAAGCAGCAAGTCATTCTCTGGAGTTTTAGTTTAGATTGTTCTGAATCCAGGTGAAAGGGTTTTAGAACAGGGGTCCTCAAACTATGGCCCGCCGAGGACATTTATCCAGCCCACCAGGTGTTTTTGCCCCGTTTGTTTTTTTACTTCAAGATAAGATGTGCAGTGTGCATAGGAATTTGTTCTTGTTTTTTTTTAAACTATAATCTGGCCCTCCAACGGGTTTGAGGGACAGTGAACTGGTCCCCTGTTTTAAAAGGTTGAGGACCCCTGTTTTAGAAGAATAAGTCAACCTCAAACTTCGCGCTGCAGTTGAGGTGCTGCCCAGTCGATCCAGACTCCTAGGGGACCCTGTGTGCAGGTGGATGGAAATGCCTAGCCCGACAGCCATCTGCACAATCATTCCTATGTTTGAGCCCATTGGTGCAGCCAATGTGTCAGTCCACCTTGTTGAGGGGTGTCTGTCCTCTTTTCGTGCTGACCCTTGACCGTCCACTATGTCCTTTTCCACTGGTCTCTCCTGATGACCAATCCAAAGTACGTAAGATGAAATCTTTCCAGCCACACTTGTAAGGCGCATCTGGTTTGACCTCCTCCAAGACAGATTTGGTTGTCCTTCTGGTAGTCAGCGGTACTCTTTGATGTAGTCCCCTGTGGTCATGATGAAGGACCCTCTGAGATGGAATTCGTTTTTGATGTTTTTAAAGTTAGTTCCAAGATAGCCATCCGGGAATGAAAATCTCAATGATTTGTAATCACAGGATTTAAAAACATTCCACCAGAATAAAACACAGAGTGAGAATTACTTGCCTCTATTTTTATTTATTGGATTCCTCAGGATATATCACTTACCTGCCTTCATCTTTTTCTTGCTCTTGTTTTGCATTTTATTTGTTCATAGAAAGGAAACCCTCGTGGCACAGTGGTTAAATGCTTGGCTGCTCACTGGAGGTGAGAATTTCAAAGGCCCCAGCAGTACGTCGGGAGAAAGGCCCTAGGAAGTGCTCCTGTAAAGATGTTAGCCCTGCAGGCAGCATGAGGCAGTTCCTCTCTGCCCAGTGGGGTTGTCAGGCATTGGAAAGAACTTGATGGTGGATTTGGTTATAAGCTGGGCGGCGGAGCATCTACCATGGTCATCAGATTGACAGAGCTCCCGTTGATTTTTTTTTCTACATCGATTCAGAAGTAAAAGTGTGACAAACTTGGGACAAATTTTCCTGTATAGTCTTTCCCTCCTTCCACTCAAAACCAACGTAAACCCACTGCTATGGAGTCAGTTCTCACAGAGGCCCTGTGGGACAGAGTAAAAACTCTTCCCCGGGTTTTCAAGCAGAGAGCCGGCGCCTCCTCCCATGGCGCGGCTGATGGGTTTGACTGACCCCTGTGATCAGCAGTCCTGGCACATAACCCATTCTGCTACCTACCACCTGGAAATTCTGAAGTCATACTCGTTAAAAAATGCTTAGCAATTAAATGGTAAAAACTAAATAAATGAAGGCTTTCTGTGATAAATGTCTGAGTCCTCATATGGTGGTAGTGGGTTATGTGTTAGGTGGCTGACCTCAAGGACAGCAGTTTGAACCCACCGGCTGCTGCTTGGGAGAAAGATGAGGCTTTTTGTTCCTGTAGAGATTTGTAACCTTGGAAACCCACTGGGGCACTTCCCCTCTGTCCTATAGCATCAATATGAGTCAGAATCGACTACAAGGCAGTGCATTTGTATGAGTTTTATGGGGGCACATTTCATGAGCATGCTTTGGGATGGGGGTCCTCTTGTTATTACTTTCAAAGACTCTTACCAAAGACAGCTGTAGAAAACTCAAGATATTTGGTAAGCCTATAAAGGAAAGCAATTATTGGGGTGGGGGTGGGGCTCCAAAAGTCCTTGGAAAATGGAATTAAAAGATACTGGAATTTTTCTAAGAACTTTTTTGAAGGTCCCTCACACTTTAGATTTTGTTAACATTACGTGTACATTTATCTGTATGGTTGGAGATCGCACCTCATGTTAATAGCTGTGTGAAGAATGGAATGGTGTGACTTGTGGCATTAAAACCCGTTATTACCGCTAAATCAATTTTTTGTTCATCCTGACTTGGCCCCGGTGAGCAGTGACTCTGGGGAGAAGCACACCTGGCTGAACGAAGTGTGCTGAGCCTTTAAACAGTGGTTGTCCCTCTGAAGTTCACCAGTTCTCATTAGATGAGTGTTAAATTTATACTAGATTGAATGCTCTTGCTTTTCTGCTTCTTGGTATTTATCTGCAAAGATCTACTTCAGTCTTAATGTCGTTTATCCCAGGTAATCAATTTTATGATAATCTGGGTTACAAATACATTCTGCATAACAAAAGGGATTATTCCTCTGGGAAGGTCCCCCCCATCCCCACCCCCTTTCGCGATATTCATCCTAAATGGTATTCTTTCGTTCTTCCCTTGCTAAAGCTTCTTCTGAATCTCTGTTTCTTTGCTTCGCTAGTACGCTGGGGAGGAGGAGGAGGAAGGGAGCGGCAGCAGTGAAGGATTTGACCCCCCTGCCACTGACGGGCAGTTCTTTGGGGCCCGGAATCAGCTGCGCCGCCCCCAGTATCGCCCTCAGTACCGGCAGCGGCGGTTCCCGCCTTACCACGTGGGACAGACTTTTGACCGTCGCACTCGGGTCTTTCCCCATCCCAACAGAATGCAGGTAACATTGCACCTGAGACTTCTCTTCAGCAGTCCTCACCCCTCGTCCTTCCTCTGCCTCCTCTTCCTCCTCCTCCTCCACCACCAGCTGCCGGATATAAGACCTTGCTTGTGGCTTGCTGATGCTACAAGAGTTGAGGCTAGGTCTTTTAGCCTACTTTCTCAGAGGACTCATTCTACTGACATATTTTTAAAGCTAGAACCACATGGGCTATGCATGCCTGCACTAGGCTTCTCTGGTAGATGGGGCAAATGCCCTAGATTATTTTTAAGGAAAAGAAAAGACAACATGAAGGAGCCTGGCGAGATATTAGTTTGGACTCAGAAGTCAGGTGGCCTGGATTTGTTCCTGCCTCTGCTACTCATTTCTGTAGGGTTTGAAAGCAAGCCAGGCTTGAGGTTTGTGTGGCTATGGCATGGGGATGCAGCGTGTGTCTCCTCCAGGGTTCTGAGTATTGCGTTCAGTGTCAACATCAAAGACTTTAGATGAGACAGTGCTGCTGTTCCTTGAGGAGTGTGTATGTAGAGTGGAAAATGCTATGCTTGCTGCTGTCTTGGACTTGACCTGTGATGAATAAGCTTTCTACAAACCTTGCAGATGCCAGGAAGCTTGAAGAACTAGGGCTAGGCCGTCATCGTTATCACTGGCTGCAAGTTCTTCCTCCTCACGCAGTGGTTTTTTTTTTAACACTGAATGCTTTGACTGAACACCGTGTTCAGCTCTGTACTTTGCTGCACTCGTGTCCCAGTGTGCATGACTGTGATCTTTTTACGCTGCTCTTGTTTTCCTTTTCCACTCTTCACCAGCTGCCCCTGACACAGATGCTAAAAATACCACATTGCCATACTTAGATGGAGGGCTGGGCATATGAGGCCGAGTGGGGGTCTCTAGGGCAGCTCTCTGCTTCTAGGAAAGGAAGGAAGGAAGGAGGGCGGGAGGAGTTGGGATGGTGGCGTACATTTGTTGTCAGTGAGTGCTCTCCTGCAAGACTTGTGTTAATAGTGAACATTCACCCATGTACAATTGGCTGAGACCCCGATGGCATCCTCGTTGGAAATAAAGGTATATCCCACTTTAGGAAATGAGGGTTCAGAACGTCAGAGCGAAGTAATTTGCAGAAATTGACAGGAAACCAATTTTGAAAATGTGTGCTTATTCTCATAACTGAGATGCATTTAGTGTTTTTATGCAGGCTTCGTGGCCAGTCCACCATGCTGGACAGACAGGACATTGGCTTTTACACAGTTGGTTGTTAGATTTCTTTTTGATGCACACTGCCTCCCAGTGTTCAATAACTGGAAAAGTCTGTTTAAGCAAATCAATAGTATCAAGTGCAAGTTTTTGAAACTTTGTTTCATGTCACTAGGCTACTTTAATTATTGGTGCAATGGTTTAAGGCTGTAAGTAGATAGGGGAAATGACCGAAGCCAAAGAGAAAAGTTTCTGCCAGTGTTTTCAGTATAAACAATATCAGAGACTTGTGGGGAATAAATATCAGGAGAAAGTGGCAGTATAGGGACCAATGATATTTCCCTGATGTCCCAATACCGTATTGTAGTGTGATTCTTGTTTCTTCAAAGACGATCAGTCGATCTATATATTTCAGAAAAAAATGCAGTTGATCACTGAGGTGAAAATTACATGCAACTTTTTGAGAAAGGCTGATCTGATAGAGGAGAGCAGCCTTGTTTGGCAACCACTAAATGGTAGCAACTTTAAGTTAATTATTTAATCCCCTCAACGACCTTTATAAAGTTGCTGGTGGCTTTCCATAGTTTTGTTGTTGTTACAGATGAACACAAATATTTAAAAGATAAATAGCTCTAGGTAACCTGAGCAGGAAGTGGGTAGAGCTTGATTAAAACGCTGGCTGGCTCCAACATGGGTGCTTGCCATTCTATCACCTTTAAACCTGTTAACCTGTGTCAGCCTTTTGTGTGTGTGAGATGATCATGTAAGTGAAGGGGGAAAGAAAGCAGGAGGTGAGATGAGTGATAGTTTAGGGCAGGGCAGTCAGGCCTTTGTAGACAGATAGGACATTTGGCCTTTTTCTAAATGTGATGGGGAAAGCTAGGGATGGAATCTGAATACGGAAGGAATTTTTAAAAGACGATTCTGGTTTTTGAGTAGACCGTAGGGCAGCAGGAGAAGTAGGAAGACCAGCGCTGGCATTTCCTGGTGGGAGGATCCGCATGCCTTAGACTAGAATGCTAGCCGTGGACGTCGTGTGAACTGGTTAGATCTGGGAAATGTTTAAATGTACAACTGACCGCATTGGATGATGTAGTGACTTAGGGGGTGGGGGTGATTGGGGAGCAAATTATACCACTAATGTTACTGGTTTAAGCCAAGATGGGGAAGGTCGAGGAGGAGGATAGGTTTTCCAGGAGGAGGTGGAAATCACTTGGGAGTTCTTTCTGCCATACTAGATTGCCGAAAATGGGAGAAAGCAGCCTCAAGAAGGAAGTGGTTGGAGGGGCAGGGCACGGTTATCTGGAGTGATGGTCCTTATCACAGATAGCGTTATGGCATAGTTGAGAGCGAATGAAGCCTCAGCAAGTCTTGTTGTTTTCTCCAAAGGGATGAACGGCTTAGTGGGGAAAGGCCAAAGCAGCCTGTCTGATGAGGAGAAACAGATGTAATTTTGAATCATCAAAACAGTATTGAAAGGCATAGTCCAAGCTGAGAGTAAATCTAGAATGTGCATAGAAAAGGATCCTGGGCCTGATCTTTGAGCACATTGACGAAGATGAAAAGCTGGTAAAGGGCCATGGGAAGGAACGGTCGGAGAATGTGTTTGTAGAAGAAAGTGCGGTCGATCCCTGGAAGACATCTGCTAGGTTGGAATGACGTCCTGGCTAGTGGGTGTGGTGAGGACAAAAGCCTGTTAGATTGAATTTAGGGGGAATACAAGTGGAGGCACTCTGTGCCCCTTCGAGGGCATTGATCGGGGTTGGGGGTGGTTTGTCTTTGGTGTGTATGTTTGTAAAGACGTTCAGAAAATGGGGGGAGGATGTTGATGGGTAGCAACCAGGCTTATGTTTGATTTGGTTAGGTTTTTCCAACAGGTGCATCCCTCCCCCCACCACCATTTCCCTTATCAGAAAGTGACTTGTGCCCCCATGAGGTGAGACTGTACTGGGGAAGGCTGGTCGGAGGAGAAATGGGAGATGGGTTGCATACAAAGAGATCACTGTGTGAAAGCGCATGAGCACGAGGCTTCTTGGCTGGAGAGGGAAACTGAAGGAACCCACGATCCTATTGTTGTTGGATTGGCATTACAGCTACTGATGAAAATTTAGTTGCCCGTATCTACACTTCTATCGAGCTCTTCCAGGGCAGGTAACCCTGCAAGAAGGGCCGGGTGTCCTGCTCCCGGTTGGTCTCGGGCACTCGGCTTTATACTGCCTTCAGGGTTGCTGTGAGTCGGAATTGACTAGGGAGCAGTGAGTTTGGGACATACACAGGCACATATACCTCTGTGCGTATTGTGTGTAAGGGGCTGCGTAATTGATGCACATCCCTAGCTTTCCCCATCGCATTTAGAATGGTTTGTGGAATTCTCCATGAGCTTTTTAAGTCCCCCTTGTGCATACATCCAGATGTACAATATAAACACACACACACATTAAAACTATATTAAGAATCTTCTGGGGATACACACACAACTGTGTAACTTATGGTGTGTGCATGTGTGCGCGTATGTGAAAGGACCCGAAAGCAGAAGCACCGTGAGAGCAATGGGCGTACTTGCTGTTAGTTGCTGCCAAGTTGATTCTGACTCCCAGTGGGTGACCCGGTGGGTGGAGAATACAACTGCCTCTCAGGTTTCAAGGCAGTGACCTTTCAGAAGCTGATTGGTTGCCAGATCAGTTTTCTGAGGTGCCTCTAGGTGGACCTGAACTAACAACCTTGCAGCTAATCATAGTTGAGCAGGTCACCTGTTGTGCGCACAACCTTTGGTTTCTCTGGCTCACTCGCCAGTAAACAGACCTTTGGAGGAAATGTCTGATACCTCACCCCACTCCACCCCGAGTTGGGGTAGAGAAAGTACCACCTGAACCTGGAACATCTTGTGCCAGAAAGCAAGGAACTATTCCAAGAATGTTGGAGACATGTCAGAAGGACATGCATGAGCCTGCTCAGCTCACAGGGTTTCCATTGGCCAGTAATGATCGTAACAGATTGTAACCCATTGAATAAAATAGAAAACTATGAGTCCATCCAGAAGGAAAGAAATGAATCAATATGGTAGAATTTGGACAAAGGAGGTACTTACCTGCTTACTTTGAAAACGACGTTGACACTTGAGTACCCATTCATGAGAGAGTACACTTCAAAGGAGAAGCCTGGCAGATACCCCCCAGAGCCAGTTTTCCAAGTGCACCTTGTATAGGTCCTAGTCAAAGACCAGGAACCAGGCAGTCGTTAGCTGGTGGGGACAAGAAAAATGCAGTGTCACTTTGGGGCCTTCCCTGCCAGAGTTGTATGATCTGCATGCCATCCTGAGGAAATTGCGGACCAACCCAGCATGAGGGGAGTTTTCAGAGCAACACGGCCACTACCACTACGTTGAGTCTCTGCTTCCTGACTGGACCTTGCTGCCCCCAAGGCCTTACTGGGACAGCTGGGGAAGCTTGGAAAGGTGTCTTTCGACTTTTTTTTCAAACATAATTTGAACATTTTCAATCAGGAGACAAGTGGGTAGTCTTTCATGATGTTTATATGCTAGGGTAGAGGTGATGGAGTGGAGGGGGGGATTTTTTTCCTAGGGACAGAAGGGAAGGGGCACAGGGTAGTTGGCTTTGAATCAGAAGATGACCATGTGCAAAAGAGGCAAGACTTGTTGCAAATGGAGAGAGGCTGGTAGATTTGCTATTTGATAGGAATTGTGATCTTCTGTTTAATAACTTTGATTTCCTTAGTGAAATAGAAAAGACAATAATCGGCTGTGAGGAAGAAGGGTGTCATTGAGAAGGGGGAAAAGGTTGGTTTGGGTTGTATTTTTTAGGTTGTCGATGGGCATTTTGCTGGTTTTTAGGTCTGCATGTTTCCTAGTTCATTTCACTTCCCCAATCAAAGGACACGTGTTAGCAAGAAGGCATATTGGTTTTGTTGTTATCATGGAACGAGTCATGTAAGCAGACAAAAGGAAATTGTGAAGGGGGAAACCGGGTGTGGTTCCGATTTAGATGCAGAGTTTAATGGCCAAGTGGAGGAGGAAGTTTGGAAGTAGAAAAGATGCATGATTTGTAGAATTACAGGGTTGAAGTTTGAAGATAGACCACATTTGAGCAACGAACTCTTTAGCTCTCATTCCATTTCCTGTATAGACTCTCTTTCAAGAGCTGCCTTGGAACACTTACATGTCCAAAAGTTAAGTTAGGCTGCGAAGTGGGGTTTGGCGCTTTGAGATAGGCAGGATGGTTGTTTTACGATGACTGCTTTTTCTCTTCCTGTCATTCACCAAGAGGTAATCAGTAAATATGAAGGGACTTCAAATGGCTTGTGGCAAGGGGAATTATAAGGTGGTGGAATTTTCTGCCTATCTTTTGGAACCCCTCGTAGTGCCCTGCTTTCTTAATAAAATATCTTAGATTTTGGTTCTCATGTTGTACACATCTGCATGCTGTGTCTCTTCCACACGCTGTAGCACACTTTCAGCTCTTTCTGCCCACTCCTGTTTAGGCTGGTGAGATTGGAGAGATGAAGGATGGGGTCCCAGAGGGAGCACAACTTCAGGGCCCGGTTCATCGAAATCCAACTTACCGCCCACGGTACCGTAGGTATGTAACCTTTCCTTCCAACCAATGGCCAGAAGAAGGGCATGTGAGTGCCCCCGGGATAAATCAGGATATGGTGGGTCTGCTTTTTTGAGTTTCTTGTATACTGAGAAGACGTGACTGGAAACTCATTGGAAAATTTCAAAGATAGTGGTACAAATGGAAGGGGAATTGGATGCCACAGTATTTTAATAACTGGCAGTCTAGCACTAGGGGTTAAATCAGATGGATCAAATTGCCTGCATTTAAATTCCTACTCTATTTAGTAGCTGTGTATCCACGGCCAAGTTTCTGGAATCTTTCAGCCCTAGTCGCCAGGTCTAGAGAATGGACATTAAGGTATTGTATACAGTTGCTAGTAGGAGGAGAGGTGTGCCTTTGCATCTAAGATAATTAGAATGGTGGCTATTATAATAAGGCCATGACATTAATATTAGTAAAGGAGTACGTGATACATGTTTTCATTCTGGCAAAGACTGAGGATGGAGCTGACTTCCTTGTGATTCTTTTTACACATCTGATGTTGTAAGTCTCTGTCTTGTAACCCTATCTTTGAGGAGCATTTTGCAAATTAAGAGCTGCTCCAGAGAAATATCTCGGTGAACCAGCAAGGTGACAGCACTGTATCTGACTCCCAGTCCTGTCGGTCCCTGGCTATGGGATCTTGGAAATGTCAGATCTGCCCTTTCCTGACTTACAAAAATAGCAATTCGTATGATTCGACAAAATGCTGACCGTTCTCCAAGCCTTTTGGTTATCTCCATAGAAACCTAATTCTCAGGGTGGCTATTGATTAGATTAAATATTGACTGTAAGCACAGACCCTGGTACATTATGAGGGATGATAGTTTCTGTTCTTGGCCCCGCTGGACTGTGTTTTAGAGAGCAGGTGTAAATAGGTGCGATCTTTGGATCTTTTTATCTTTGAAAAGGAAGGAAACGTTCAGTTTCGGGGGGCCCTGTTGTGCTGCACTTGTGCTTTTGTTTTGTGTTCTGTGCTGTATGTAGGGGACCTCCTCGCCCCCGAGCTCCTCCGGCTGTTGGAGAGGCCGAAGATAAAGAGAATCAACAAGCAGCCAATGGTCCAAACCAGCCATCGGCTCGCCGTGGTTACCGCCGCCCATACAACTACCGGCGCCGCCCCCGTCCACCCAATGCTCCTTCACAAGATGGCAAAGAGGTAAGATTAGCTAGTCGGAGGGGCTATAGCCAGATCACCCATCCTGGTGGACCTTCACAGTCTTGAGTGGTTTTATAATCTGAACTTGACACTTGAAGTCATACCACTTTGCCTGAGACCCAGACACTTATATGCAAAGTCTTCCTTAGAGAAAACACACTCCAAATACTTGAATTCAACAGATGAGCATCCACAGAGAGAGACTTGCCAGTGCTGATGTAGACTCGGCTGAAACACTTAGTGTTCTGCTAAATGAAAGGCAGCGTTTTAGAGAAACCTGCCTCTTTACTCATGTGAAAAAAACATCTGTTTTTCTTAGACATTTTGATACTGGGAGTAGTTTTATTTACTGTTTGGAAGCCATTCCTCTGTGGAATCGATTGAACTTGTACATAATGAATAGTCATACATCTCAATGAACTTCATAGGCAGGAGAATGTAAGTTTTGGGGACCTTTTCCGCTTGAACTTTCTGTTGCTCTCTTAAATCCTTGCTTCCTGGCCTTTTTGTTTCGTGTTTTAGGCCAAGACAGGTGAAGTCCCAACTGAGAACCCTGCTCCAGCCACCGAGCAGAGCAGTGCTGAGTAACAACACCTGGCTCCTCAGGCACCTCTACCATCTGCAGGTGAGGCAGGGCTCGGTGGCCAAGCGTGGGTCTGCTGTTTCTCTTTTGAGTATCACTGATTTCTCAGCAGGAGTTAAAACTGGTCTGAACTCACTGCAGTTCATCTGTGCAAACCCCTTAGCTGCTCTGTGATTCTGTGGCACAGGCCATTTTGACAGTTATGCTTTCTGCAGTCTGCCTTATTTTGCAACACTTTAGGGCCCTACACATTCAATGTTGATGACAATCAAATTCTTCTCTCGTGACCTGGCAGGGGCTCATTTAATACATTCAATCAGTCTATATGAATCGGAAAGTGGTACCTAACTGCCACTGTTACCTGTCAGGCAAACTGATGCTTCACTTCTGTGACATCTACTGGCCAACTTGATAATTTTAAAAAGTCTTTGCCATTGAATCCCCTCTACCTCGGTAAGGACTCTATAGGACAGGGTAGAAACTACTCCACAGGGTAGCTCAGGCTGTTTCTCCCATGGACCGCCTGTAGGATTAGAACCACCAGCCTTGCTGTTAATCTCTGCTACCAGTTAAACAGGGATACTGAGTATACTTACCTACTAGAGTCGATTCGATTTAAAGGAAATACTCAGTGTGAAGTGCTTAGCACGGGACTTGAACTTGGAAAGGTTAGCTCCCTAGCAGCATGATTATAGCTGTGAGTAAAATAGTATCATACAGACGAATTCTTAACTCCAAGTGGGTTTTCTCTGGCTGACTTAGAAGCTTAGACTCATTTTTCTTCAGGGGTGTGACTTTTTACTGGGTAGCATTATTTGTGTCTTCTAAGGAGAGCTGAGTGCTAGGAAGGAAATGATTCTCCTTGTGTCTACAATCCGATGTTGGGAAAAGTGGTTTCACAATTGTTTGTCCACATTAGGGGTTAGTGTGCGGCAGACACAGATAATTAGGACAGGTCAGTAATGCTCTCGTGTTGTTTATTTGCCTTGTAGCCGGAGGGTTGTTGAAAATTTTCGTATATGAATTTTTCAGTTTTAACTTTTTTCCCCCCGTCCCCCAAAGGAGGTGAGGTGTACCATCCATGGAGGTGTACTGCAGTAGCAGATCAATGTTTGGAATGGACGGAGCAAGTGCCTATATGTCTCACTGCCTCCGAAGTCCATTTAATATCGTTTCCTCAGCTAAGATTAAATGTAGCATCTGCGCTTGGAAGTTTTGACTAATTTTTATGGATCCACTTTTCTGGCTTAATGAAAACTTTATTAGGGAGTAAGAGTTTTAACTTAGGAGCCCTTGAGGTGCAGTAGTTATATGGTAGGCTGATAACAACCGAAAAAAGAAACCCACTGCCCTTGAGTTGACGCTGATAACCAAAATGTCAGCAATTTGAACCCCCCAAGCCCTCCCACTGGGGGAAAGCTGGTGATCGCCTGCTTCCATAAGGACATACGGTCCTGGGAAATACAGGCCGGAGGCAGTTCTGTCCTGTCCTGTCCTGAAGGGTTGCAATGAGACGGAATGAACTCTGGAAATTATGGATTGCTAAGAGTTAGTTTTGGGTTTAGTATGTTTCCGACGTCTATGTTGTTGTTAGGTGCTGTGTCACCCTCACGGTTTTTCTTACGTTTGAGCTCATTGATGCAGCCGTGGTGTCGCTCCGTCTTGTTGAAGATCGTCTTTGCTGCCCCTCTCCCTTGCCAGCCAGATGTCCTTCTCCAGGGACTGGATTTTCTTTATAACATTGTTAAATCGCCTTTTGAAATAATGAGTGCTTTCTATTATATGGAAAGAAAAAAAAACAACCAGGTAATTTTCCGCTCGTATCTTGCTCTCTGTGTCATTTTATCACTATTTGATTTCATTTTTTTCCAGGTGACCTAAAGAAATATTTGACTATCAGAAGATACAACAAAGAACAAAAGGAAAACCCACGACCTTAGCAACACCAAAGAAACACCCGAGCAATAAAGTGGAAGAAGAACTAAGATTCGGACTTTAGAATATTTATGTTATTTTTGTAAGAAACAAACAACTGCAAAAGGAAAATGTCAGCAATTTTTTTCAGCAAACAGATTCTAGGAATCCCTGCACGGAAGACAAGAGAGCCACCTCCCCAGTTTCAGCAGCCACTAGGTTTATATACTTTTTCCTGGTTTTTACTGTTTTGGTAATATGAATTGAAAGAAGAAATATTAATATCACATGGGGAAGAACCCCAACCAAAA